AAAGGGAACTGGGATTGGTATGTAAAATAAGATTGCTTTAAAAATAAAAAAAAAATGTACTTCACCAAACTGGAAAATCTAAAAGAATTGGATAATTTCCTTGATACAATCCACTTACTAGTTAAATCAGATCAGATAAGCAACTTAGACAGACCCATAATCCCTGGAGAAATAAAAGCAGTTATTAAAAGCTTCCCAATCCCCCAAAACCCAGAACAAAGTGGTTAACATTCAAGAAAAAGTCAATGCCAATATTCCTCAAATTATTCCACAAAATAGAACATATCCCATTTTCCCCTGATGTCACAGTTACCCTGATGCCTAAACCACATAAAAACCAAAAAAAGAGAATTACTATTTTTTCTTATACAAATAAATGTAAAAATACTCAAAAATGTACTTACCAACCAAATCCAAGAACACGACAAAAACATCAACTACATGATCAAGTATGTTTCATCCCAGAGATACAGGGATGCTTTAATGAATAAATATCAGTCATTATAATCCACCACACAAACAAACTGACTGTGTGGCTGTGTGGCTGGGCCCTGACAGCCTCCTCTCCTAACCCTGCATCTTCCCTTTCTTTTTCTCCATTTATTCTCTCTGCCTGATAGCATCACCTATCTTTCCTCCTGCCTTGCTATTGCCTATTTAACTCTTTATTATACCAATCATGTGTGTTAGACAGGCAAAGTAACACAGCTTCAGAGAGTTAAACAAATACAACATAAAAATTACAACACATCTTTTTTAATATTTAAAACAAATGTTCCATAGCATAAACAAATGTAACATGTCTTAAAATAATACTCTACAACAATCAACTGAAGCAAGTATATTAATCCTAGACAATCCTTTAAACTACGAAGGAACAGAGGACCTGTTACATAATTAGTTAATATTAATCTCTCTACATTGACATCAATGATTGGGGTAAATTGTTAGGTATTAAGAAAATGAAAACTAGAAAAAGAAAAACAAAATCGTTTCAGTATATTTACTTCATTACATGTATTTGTATGTGTGTTTCATCTGTCTGTCTCTCATTTTCTCTATCTCATACACACAGTTTACACACACAGAGTCATAATTATGTTTTCTACAGTTTCAACACTAATGTTTTCTGAAAATAATTATTCCAATTAAACAGTTTATAAAAGCAGTATAGTAAGTATATGTGATAAGTAATATAATAAATAAGCGCACTGCCAGTACAAGGGATTCTTACTCTAAGGTACACATGATATGACTGGTACTTAAAATTTGCTAAGATTAATCCAGGCCTCTGTTAAATTAACCTAGATAACATCTTGAATGTTGAGGCACCATTAGTATATTCATGTTTTCCTCTATAAGTGCATTGGGAAAAGTACAAAGGTAAAATTCTTGGTGGAAGTATGTGAATCCAAGGAAAAAAATTAGTCAATATGTGGAATTAATAAGATGAAACATATAATCCCACGGTATTAGATAGTATTAAAAGTTAGTTAATGTCACTTTTTATTATTCTAAGGTGACTTTACATTTTAAAATATAATAGATTTTTATATTAGGTGGAAATTAGAGAAACATGAGAAATTTGAATAACATTTTAAAATGTCATTAGGTCCATTTGTGACATCTATTTTCTATCAATTTTATAACTAACATTATTAAAATGAGAACACGGTGCATCTTGACAGCTTATTAGATTAATTTAGACTCTAAAGATCCTGATTTTCATGTTTGGCATGGAAAATTGAAGTCTTATTTAATGAATATTTATTGTAATTCTACAGTGAACAGAAAAATACCTGTTTGTTCCTTTGAAAAGGCTTATAATTTAGCTTGGAAAGTTCCCAAGAGGAAAGAATCAGTTCATTGAAATAATGATTTAGAATAATCAAGAGGGAGCCAGCTACCATTATCACTGAGGCCAGCAGCCTGAAAATAGAATAGTGATTACTGTGAACTCAGAAAGGTGCCAAGGGACTGTGGGGAGGATAAAGGAGTGGGACATGGACATCATCAATTCGTGCTGTGTGGATGTGTAGTAAATCACTGTGAATATATATTATGATTAATATATTTTAATCAAAGCATTTTAAATAACTAATAAAATGTGTTGTACAAATTAGAAGAAAAACTAGGCTAAAGGGTCTGAAAATTACTCCTCCTTGAGAACTTTCCAGTGATAAACTTCCAAAGTAAAATCTTTCTTTCACTGTTCTCCTCCTGATGGTCATGAGACCAGTGTTTATATTTTCAGGAATTGTGTGAGATGAATGTGAAAGACATACACAAACGTTATATTATGTAAGACTATAATTAAAACATATTAAGAACAAAAGTACCGAATGGTTAAAACTCATCATCCTACTTACATCACTTAATTTTCCTATGTGCCTGTCTCTCAACACTGACATCCATGTTTATGTGGTGAAAATCCTGTGATGATGAGCTATGGTACACCTTTTTCTAACTCCAAGTTCAATGACACTACATCTTTAGCTGACCATGTGCTGTGGAGGGAGCATTTACACTGAGAATTGGCAAATGCTATAGATTATAGACCTATGGTTACTTTTATGTATTAATCGGTACAGCATTCAGAGCTCCTACAATACATCAGGTTGGAACTTTCTGTACACAGAGGCTTAAAGATTGATACAAATTATTCCATCAAACAGGTTACTAGGATGTCTTTGCAAGAAGAAAGTGGGAAAGGCTTTTATAGTCCAGATGAGTTAGACTTTGTGATTACTTAGTAATTCATTGGGAAATCCACTGGGATTGAATTCAGGTCATCAGACTTGGTGACAATCACAGTAGTCACTGAGCAATCTCACTTTCCCATAAGCCAAGAATTTTTTTTTGATGTGTGTGTGTGTATGTGTGTGTGTGTGTGTGTGTGTGTGTGTGTGTGTGCGCGCGCGCACACACACTGGAAAGAAACACCAGCCTCATGCATGCTAAACACAAGCTCTATTACTGATGCACACTTCCAGCCCCAGAAATCCTATCTTTAAAGTATGAATGGCACCAGAATCCAAAGAGTCTGGTAAGATGATGGATATTTTTTGTGGTGAGGGTTGTAAGATGCAGAAAATATTTTCTATATTATTTCCCCCAGACTAATCACTAAACTCCTCCATTTTGAATTGATTTTGTGTCAGTTCCTAATTGACAGCACACTGTTGTTTTAAAGAACATTCACGTGAGCTCAGTTAGTGAGTAATTGTCTAACATGAGTTCCATCCCAGCTCTGAAATAAAAGCCAGTGTTCCAAAGAAATTCAAAACTTTAAATGTGGCTTGCCTTTTCTACTATGTGTATGTTGGGACAAGCCCTAACATTTTTATGTGGTCCCTTCAGGACCAATGAGGAATGCGAGTGATTACATGAGCTATCACGTTTCAAATGGCAGAGTTCGAAGCATCCTACCAATTTTTTAAAAATAAAATGCAGGATACAGTAAAGGAATCTACTAAAATATACCTGATAATTGACTTATGCCTTAATGCTTATAATAGGACAACCTGAAAAAAATATTTCTGAAATATATTCATTTGCTTCTTGTTCAAATTAACATTGGTGCTTAACAATGTTAACCTTTAGTTCTGGGGGCATAAGATTTTTGCAGCTACCCTTTCCTTATTTTGTACAACAAAATACTCTTTTAGGTAATACACTATGAATTTTAACAAATGCATAGCATTATGTAGCTGGCTCCACAGTCACGATGCTTCTTTATAGCCAAGTGTTCTCCTTTCTCTAATCTTTGATAGTCAATTGCCTGCTTTTCAGACCTACAGGTTTCTCAATTCCAGAATGTCATAGAGATGAAATTCCACATGGGAACCTTTGAATCTGGTTTCCTCCATGTAAATGAATTTGATATTCACTTGTTCTTACATGTACCTCTTAATTTAATGGCTGAGTAGCATTTTATTTTATAGACAAACCATAACTGATCTGTTTATCTCCTGGAGAGTGTGTGGATTGTTTGCAGTTCAGTGCTATGTGACTAAAACTTTTCTGACCATTTATATGCAAACTTTGTATGGAAACATAAAGCTTTTGTTTCTCTATGAAAAATAATAAATCATAGAAGTGAGTCTGCTAAATCCTGCACTAAATGGAACTTAATAAGAATATCCCAAACTCCTTTCAAGAATGATTTTATCATCCTTCAATCCTACCAGCTATGGATGTCAGTAGTTCCACCTCTATGTCAGTACTTACATTGCTAGAAATTTTACTTTAGCTATTTTATAGATATGGCATTTCTATACTTGTGGATACTTGCATTTCTTCTGCTATTATTAATGATCATAACTCTGGTTTTCATCCACACTGTTTGGTGAGGCACTCCTTCATATCTTTTGTTCTGTCTTAAGAAATTGTATGTTTTCTTCTTGATTTCATTAGATTGTCTAGACATAATTCTTTTGTCTATTATCTTATTTGTAAATATTTTTCCAGTCTGTGATTTCTCCTCTTGTCCAAAAATTATTTGCCCATTCCAATGCTTTGAAACATTTTCTGTATGTTTTCTTCTGGTAGTTTTATATCTTACTCTTAAGTTTTCACTCCATGCTTAATTTATTATTATAAATCTTGATAGATAGAAGTCTAGTTTATTTCTTCTGTGCATAGATAATTTTCCAAGCAATATTTATTGCAAACATTTTCTTTTTCTGGAAGCATTTTTAGTACCTTAGTTGAAGATCAGTTAACTATAGATTTGCTTCTGGACTTGTAATTCTATCCCATTGGTCTCAAAGTCTGCTTTTATGCCAACACTTGTCCACATATTTTACTACATATTTGTAGTATGTTTAGAAGTCAGATAGTGTAAACGACCCCCTGCTTTGTTCTTCTTCCTCAAAATAGCTTTGGCTTTTCAGGTTTTTTGCATGTTTCCATGTCGATTGTGTTGGGTGGGTTACTCAGTCTAGGGGTTTGTAACCCACCCTGCAATCAGTTATTCCAGGGTCTCGGAGGGGCGCTACCTGGAAGGGAATGAGCTAAGACAGAAGAAGGAGGTCAAGCAGATTTGTCAAAGCCTCCCGTTTATTAAGGTCATGGTTGGTGTTTATATAGGCCCGGGATGAGGACTTTGAGGGGCAGGGAAACTGGATTCTTGCCGCGTGTTCCAGATCACGTGGTTCAGGTTCGTCCCGTTGGCCAACCATATCAAATGCTGGAAAGAATGTAGGCCTATGGGATCTATATGCTTTTGGTGCTTGATGTAAAATCATAGAATACTTTGAAAAACAGTGTAAGTTTTTTTTCAATATTAACCATTCATTTACCAGCCATTCTACTCCAAGTTCTTATCCTAGAGCTATGAAAGCCTATGTCTGTGCAGATGTGTACTTGAATCCTTAGAGTAGTTTAGTGTGTAACAATCCTGAAGTGGAAGCAGTCTAAATGTCCATCAACAGATGAATATATTTTGCTATATCCAGGTCTATGAAATCCTGCTCAACAATGGAATAATACGAAATATTGATACATACAATATGAATGAATTTAGAATAATTGTGCTGAGTGAAAGAAGTCAAGTAAAAAGAGTATATAGCATATGATTACACTCACATAAAATTCTGGATAATGCAAGGTAGATTATACTAACAGAAAGCAGAATAGCAATTGTTTGGGAATGGTAGCTGGGATTGTAGAAGGGATGACATAATTGTTGCTTATGAAGGACAACAAGAAAACTTAGATATAGGTATGGATCCACTTTAAATAGGTACCATTCATCATATAATAATGTCTCAATGAAGTTGTTTAAAATTTTAATGCCTCCTATCAGACATGGCAGCAAGCACTTGTGCTCCCAGCACTTAGCAGGTGAAAGCAGGCTGAATAGTCTAATATTACTTAGTATAAAATTATTTAAAGTTTAAAGAAAGCCAGAACTATAAACAGTATGCTCCAGGCTGGCTAGCACATGCTTTAGAGTGAGACCAAATCTCAAAAACAAATGAAAACCCTGTAGCACACCAATAAAATATACTAGAACTTCCCATGGATAAAATTCTAAAAATTAAAATTTTTTATTTTTTTTTTGTGTTTTGTTTTGTTTTGCCTGAAACAGGTTTTCTCTATGTAGCTGGAGCTCACTATTAGACCTGATCTTCGCCTCATAGAGATCCTTCTGCTTCTGCTTCTACTTCCCAAGTGTGGGGTTTACTGGTGTGTGTTACCATACTTGACAGAAAAATATTAAATAGTTTGAAATAAATCCTCCACAAAATTTGTAAATTCTTTTTATATGACTTTTTATAGATATATTATTATTATTATTATTACTCCTACAGCTGATAAATAACTTCAGTGAAGTGGCAGGTTACAAGATCAACTCAAAAAATCAGTAGCCCTCCTATACACAAAGGATAGAGAAGCAGAGAGGGAATTCAGAGAAACTTCACCTTTTATGATAGCCACAAATAGAATAAAGTATCTTGGGGTAACTCTAACCAAGGAAGTGAAAGATCTATTTGACAAAAAACTTTAAGGCATTGAAGAAAGAAATTGAAGAGGACACCAGAAAATGGAAAGACCTCCCATGCTCTTAGATGGGTAGGATCAACATATTAAAAATGGCAATCCTACCAAAGGCAATCTATAAATTCAACACAATCCCAACAAAATTCTTCACGGACCTTGAGAGAACAATAGTCAACTTTATATGGAAAAACGAAATTTGTAAATTCTATGAGAAGAGAATTTTTAAACATTCTTGAAAGATGCCAAAACAGAATTGAATAGACAGAATGATACTCATTTGATTTTGAATATGTTCATTAAGAAAAATTCTCCCAGAAAAGCTAGATAAACAGAAAACTAGACTAGTACTCTAGGAATCTGAGAATCATAGCAATGCAGTAGTTGTATACAAGCAGACAAATGATAGACTTTTTGTCCATAAATATACCCAATTATATGTGAAATTTTTTGTATCTGATACAGGCCTAGACCACTAATTCTCAGAGGCAAAAACTGGCATTTTAAAAAATGGGACTGAGCCAACTTGGAAAAAGAGAAAAGTAAACCTGTTCTTTGCACCACAAACACCATCAACAATAGTACACTCCGATGGATCAGGACTCTAAATATAAAAATGAAGCTCAAAACAAACAAACAGGTATGGGTGGTGCCCCCTTTTAATTCCAGCACTCAGGAGGCAGATGCAGGCAGATATCCGAGTTTGAGGCTAGCCTGATCTACAGAATGAATTCCAGGACATCCAAGCCCACACAGAAAGACCTTGTCTCAAAGGAAAAAATCTGGGTAGTAGTGGCACACACTTTAATCCCAGCACTGGGGAGACAGAGGCAGAAGGATCTCTGTGAGTTTAAGGCCAGCCTGGTCTACAAACTGAGTACCGGGGCAGCCAAGACTGGTGTACAGAGAAACCCTGTCTTGAAACACACACACACGCACGCACACACTCACACATGCACAGAGGAGTGGGATGAGAGGATAGGCATATTTACCTTCAATGTAAGGAGCCGTTTTCTAGATATGACTCAAGATGAAGACTTGTTAAAAGATTAATTTAAGAGAGCAGATAAAGTGAAAGTGTTTTTACATGACAAAGCATTCATAAACAGGACTGAGAAGATGGCTTTGTGGATAAAATGTTTACCACATAAACATGAAGACCAGAGTTTGGATCTCCAGCCCCAACATGGGAAGGCTGGCAACTACTGTAATACTAGCAGCACACACAAGGCATCTCCAGAGCAAGCTGGGTAACTAGACTAGACAAAGCAAGGTGGAAAGCAATTGAGGAAGATACCCAATGTTGACTTCTTACCTCCACACGTTCACACACATGTGTACCCTCACACATTTGAACACACATGCATGCATGGACACTGCAAAACCAAAAGATGATTGTCAAAATGAGACTGAAATCCTTAGTATAAAATTACTAAAAGCTGAGACAATATTGAAATTCACAGTGCATTATCACCAGAAATAATTACTATATATCAATTAAAATTAAAATTTTGATGAACAGGAGAGATGGCTCAGATGTTCCAAGCACTTGTATTTTTAAAGGACCTGAGTCGAGTTTCATTACCTATATCAGTCACCTTTAACTTCAGCTCCAGGGGATTTGACACCTTCTTCTGGCTTCTGTGGACACCCACACAGACATGTGCAGAGCCCCCTACATATACACACAACAAAATAAAGCCTTTAAAATTAAATAAAATTTTTAAAAATAAATGTCAAACTAAAAGGAAAAACTTGAGGAACAAAAGCACAACCAACAGGAAATGTGTAAAAAGGCATGAACAATTGATTATATGACTCTCAAATATAGGCAGATATTCAAACTCATTTGCAATTAAAGTTTAATTAGAAAACTGAAAATTAAAATAACATTGAGATAGTATTTCTCACCTGTCAGACTAACAAAACTTAAGAAGTGTGGCAATGCATTCCATTCCCCATAGAAATGCAAGTACTGTTACATATGTCTGAGGGGATTGCAAAATAGTATAATCTTTCTGAAAATTTCAGAATATCCAGGTACTTCTGCATTTATTTTTTATAAAGCAATATAGTGTTGGGAATATAATTTAAAGTAATACCTCCCACAATAATATATATGTACGTGTGTGTGTGTGTGTGTGTGTGTATCACACTGGATGATTTCTTACAACTATGTTTGTTATGAGATATTGGAAACAATTTAAATGATATACAAAAGAGAGGGATTCTATAAGCTATTTACACCATGTATTTACACCATGGAGTGCTAATTAAAACAAAGCACAAGGACGGATATTCCCATCAACTAATTTACAACAAAAATGTCAATGTGCAAAAGAATATCTGTAACATACTATACTTCTTGCAAGAAGAGGAAAAGTATAAGAAGATGCACATGTATCTGCTTTCTTGTGAAAAGTATGTATGAGACAAATAAGCTAGAAACTGAAGATTTCATCTTCTATAGGAAATGGTCAACGAAAAGAGAGGGAAGGAGTTATAGTTGATGAGAAGGAGACTATGCTTCTCAGAACTCTTTAACATGGCTCTACAACACATGGGCACAGGAGACCACTTCCTACGTATAACCCCAGCAGCACAGACATTAAGGGACCTCCTGAAACTGAGAAGCTTCTGTAAAGCAAAGGACACTGTCATTAAGACAAAAAGGCAACCTACTGACTGGGAGAAGATCTTCACCAACCCCACAACAGACAAAGGTCTGATCTCCAAAATATATAAAGAATTCAAGAAACTAGACTTTAAAATGCTAATTAACCCAATTAAAAAATGGGGCACTGAACTGAATAGACAGTTCTCAACAGAAGAAGTTCAAATGGCCAAAAGACACTTAAGGTCATGCTCAACCTCCTTAGCGATCAGGGAAATGCAAATCAAAACAACTTTGAGATACCATCTTACACCTGTCAGAATGGCTAAAATCAAAAACACCAATGATAGCCTTTGCTGGAGAGGTTGTGGAGTAAGGGGAACACTCATCCATTGTTGGTGGGAATGCAAACTTGTGCAAGCACTTTGGAAATCAGTGTGGCGGTTTCTCAGGAAATTCGGGATCAACCTATCCCAGGATCCAGTAATACCACTCTTGGGAATATACCCAAGAGATGCCCTATCATACTACAAAAGCATTTGTTCAACTATGTTCATAGCAGCATATTTGTAATAGCCAGAACCTGGAAACAACCTAGATGCCCCTCAATGGAAGTATGGATAAAGAAAGAGTGGAATATATATGTATGCATTAGAGTACTACTCAGTGGTAAAAAAACAATGACACCTTGAATTTTGCATGCAAATGGATGGAAATAGAAAACACTATCCTGAGTGAGGTAAGCCAGACCCAAAAAGATGAATGTGGTATGTACTCACTCATAAGGGGATTCTCGCCATAAACAAAGTACATTGAGCCTATAATTCGTGATCCTGGAGAAGCTAAATAAGAAGGTGAACCCAAAGAAAAACATATAGTTATCCTCCTGGATATTGGAAGGAGAGAAGATTTCCAG